ATCTAGCTTTCATAAAACAAGCTCTGCTTAGTTTGAAACTAGCTGGCGTTGTGTGTCAGATGTCCGAAATAAATAAAATAAAAATATATAAATTACATTCGCTATTCTAGTTTTTGACCAAATACACAGAGTACAAATATAGCCCTGCCACAAAATATTTGACTGCACGGTTGGCGTAGTGGTTTAAGCGGTCGCCACGCCACTTACTACTACGCTGAGTGTTGTGGGTCCCATCCCCACATGGGACGATACTTTGTGTGATCTACAAATTGTTGTTCTGAGTCTGGGTGTTCTTTGTGTCCGTTTCGTGTATGTTTGTAAAGTCCCCCGCGACACAGGATATATTGCTAATGCGGTAGTTGTCTTTTAAACATAAGAAACATAATAGCCCATCTTTCCCGTCACGTAGTTGTGTGAATACAATTACGCCATAGATAAAACTTTACTTGTTAATATTTCGAAGCTAATATCAACGCATATTTCACCTGAATCTGACGCGTAATTTTACGCAACGGCTGTTAAATTCGTGCTTAATTTATATTTGTGTGTTCGTGGCCTGTTTATTTTATATAAATGAATGTTAATATTGCCGTAAGTCGCGTAAGGGTGAACCAAGGAAGTGTGTGACGTCACTCCGGCGTGTATATATTTACATTTATACGATAAGGAAAGGGATTTAAAGAACTATTTATTATTGTGAGAAAACCATGTTTCCTGACATACTCATATTTGGGCTTAACCGGAGTGATACCAAGGCTTCACAGCAAACCCGTTAAACTATTACATCCTTGCTTTTCACTGAGCGAAAGAAATTACCGCACCCCTATACTGCAAATCGATCGCCCCTCACCACCCCTCCCTCCTTTATGTGCACACAACAGGCACCAGCCACTAGTACCTTAACCTTAAGGTTTCTTTAGCTATAGAAAGGTGTGTGCTAAATTTTAAAACGATGTAATAATAAACACTCGTATTTAAATTTGTTTTTAATATTCTGAAATTTGAATTTTACTAGTGGTCGCCCAGTGGCCCAGTTTTAGGGTTCTTTTGTCAAAGACGTTTTACCTCTATATTCAAAAGTTTCATCATGGCTATACTGTATTTCTAATGCATTATTATATAAAAAATAAGTTTTTGCACTTCTTCTCCATGTAAACTTTAACTGTGTCAAATTCCACGCTTAGCCGTTCTCGCAATTTTCTTAAAAATGGATACAAAGTTTTCACTTAACGTTTTAATATATAGATATGACGTTTCACATAATTTTATTTTTGCATTAATATAGAAAAGTTAAAAAAAACTATAATAAACAAAATGGAATAACTTAAGAAGAAAATAATAAGCGCCAGTTCACAATAAATCAGTTACTTTTCATCAGGCGCTCGAAGTGAATTATTGAAACCTGAAAACCTTAGTCCCAGCCAAATAACTTTCTTTGTCTAAATGGGATTAAACCCTTCAACACGCCCACCACTGTAACTCCTGTACACCAGGATCAACAGCAGCAAACCCTCGGGAAGTCCCAGCAAAAACTATCTTGGAGCCCGCAACGAAATTAATCAGAACAAAATTATAAAAGATGGAAATATTAATTCATTTCCCTCCTTAGCAAAGCGGGAGACAAAATGTTGTAAAATAGGCATACACACTTTAAAACAGGAAAGCACCACGGCCAAGAAATAATGGGTCCTAAGTGAGCTGTATTTGATTTCTATAATATGTAAGGCAGAATCGCCTATACGCACGGCAATTCAGCCTAGTTGACACAAGATCCCAATAGCCCCATCCCCGCCCCATATGACACCTTTAAACTATTCAGCATTATATTACGTTCAATATACCAAAACCTACATTCCCAGACGATATGATGAGCAGATTGTTCACAGTTAGAGCTAGGTGTTGAGCATTGACACAATGGTTTGCTCTTAAAGTTACCTTGACCCTTTATAAATTGAGCGACACAGTGATCCACCTCAAGTCATGTCCTCGACAACCGTTCGCGAACAGATTGAAAGAACTGGTAAAGGTGGCGCCCCTTAAATGATGCATTATGTTACGTTCATTATACCAAAGACTACATTCCCAGAGGATATGATGAGCAGACTGTGCACAGTTAGCGGCGGGGCTCAAAGCGGCGGTAGCCTAGTGGTTAAGGCATTGGACTTACGGTCAAGAGGTCGTGGGTTAAAATCCTGACCAGTACACTACCGACATGAATCCACTCCTAACACAAGCAATTTATCTTAGCTGGAGGGGTTAACGGGAATACTAGTAATTTCGGTTGCTAGTAAACTTTAAAAAAAAACGTTAGAGTTAGGTATTAGGCATTGAAACAATGGTGACTTGACTAATTTAAATAAATACAGTTTCTTTGTCTAAGGAACTTTAAAAAAAAAAACACTGCGCACGATTATATTTTTTTTTTAACTTCTACTACTTCTACTTTAACTTCTTAAAACATACGAGTACATTGATCGTAAATAATGTTACTCATTTTTGCCGCGCCTATCAAAATATTGTCGCAACGAGACGATATTATGATTCGAGAAAACGAATACGAGACTGCCATCAGCTTATGCCTCCAAAACAATGCTTCGGGCCATTTCATAAATTTACATATTCTACCGAAAATATTTGTTATGATATGAACTTTTCCTTGATAACCTCTTTCCTCGAAATTTATTCAAACATAATGCTAGAGTTTCTCTTCAAAAGTTACCTAAATGTTATTTGTTTAACAAAACAAAGTTACAAATTGGTTCGTTAATTTGTTGCGCTAAGTTCGTGACTATCTCATAAACGGTCAGCCGTGTGGCACCGGCTAAGAATACCTCCACCCCATTTCTTCCTGTGGGTGTCGTAAAAGTCGACTTACGGATTTTACAATGTGTTTTTTTTTCTTTTGACGAATCTTTAACCCACAAATTCTGCAATTTATTTCTAGACGATTTGCAAAATATGAATAAAAAATATTCAGTGGTTTAGAAACAGGTATTTTTTTTGATTTCGTAATTTGCAACATCATGTGTAAATGCAGTCATAATACATTGTCATCAGGCGGTGATCAGCCGTATTCGCGGCGCGGTATTTGCCACTTTGCCTCACACATTGCCACTTTTACTACACTCGAATCGATCGAAATATGTTGATTATTCCATCATCAGGATGAAAGACACGCGTTTTTAGTGTTATGCTGTTCTGTGTCAAATGACAAATTATCGTAATAATAATATTGTTGTTGTTCTTGAGATATTTGTTTAGAAAAGTTTTGTTGTGTTAATAATGGTTTAGTCTTATTGCCTTCGTCATAATACACGGCAATGGTGTGAATAATTAATGTTATCGTGTGCGCAAGACTTTGTGTTGTAACAAGTCCCACTAATTTTATTTTGAAAAGTGAGAATATTAGTTTGTGTGTGTAGTGTTGTGTGTGTGAAACTGAGTGCATTATCAGTCTTTAAATTTATTGGGTCATCGGTATCGACATCCATAATGCCGCGAGTGACATTCACAGCCGCGGAATATCCAGATATGATGTTAATTTACCGGGAACACTATTAAAACGCATATTTATCTTTACCGACAAACCGAGGTATGGAATCAATCGTGTATGTCCTACAGACTGCCGAATTTTTGTAAGGGCGGTACAAAGATTACGAGACAATCAAATTTTTTATTTATTTTTTATTTAAAAAAGACAACTCCCGCATTAGGAATAAATCCTGTGTCGCGGCTGACTTTACAAACATAAATGAAACGGACACAAAGAACACCCAGACTCAGAACAACAATTTGTGGATCACACAAAGTGTCGTCCCATGTGGGGTTTGAACCCACAACACTCGGCGCAGTAGGAAGCGGCGTGGCGACCGCTTAAACCACTACGCCATCCGTGCAGTCTACCTACTTTTTCAAGGAGTGACACGTACTGCCGGGTCCGAACTAGTCGAGCATTCCCGAAATAAACACTTGAATCTATTTTTAATACATTGATTTTAAAAAGCAAATGATGTAAGTGATTAGTAGGTAGGTAATAAGAATGTAAAGTTTGCCGGCTCGTCGTGGCGCGGTGACGTTGCTTTGATGTCGCCGACATTGCAACGCTTTCGTCTACAGATCAGCAACTCATGTTAACAATGGTGTTCTAATTCGGCAATTTTAGTATTGTATTTATTTTGTTCTAAATTTATATTTCTGTATTTTCGGTTTTTTTTTTAATTTTATCCGACGACGACACTCGTTATACCAGAGAATGGGCAGCAACAATTTCCTGAGTACAGTACTATCTCACTGCGATCGCCAACCCGCATTCGTGGTGATTATACCATAGGCCCGAGGCCTATGTCCAAGCAGTGGACGTCTTTCGGCTGAGATGATGATGATCATAAACAGCTTCCGTTAAACAATAAATTTAAATGTTACATTTGGCGAAATTGTGGTTACATTCTACCACAACCAAAAGTTGAAGTTTAAATATTACATACATACACTTATAGACACATTACTTACATAATATGGGATAAACCTATTGCCGTCAATCGGGTATATGTATTTATAAATAAACACTCCATATGTATTTCTAAATATATACGAATTATAGATAAATTACATCCAGACACAGAAAAAATTATCGTGCTCATCACAGAATCAACCTTGATTTAGCAGTCAGGGTCACTTATCACTAGGCTAAAAGGCCTGTCATCATCATCAACAGCCTTTAACAGCCCACTGCTATACATAGGCCTCTCCTTAGACAGGTCGTTTTTTCCTACTATACCGCTGGCCAGACCAGACCAGGTTGATTTAGGGTTTGTGTCAAGTTTTCCTTCTTTTTGCAGTGCTGATGTCCTGAGTAGTTTGCTTCATTGACAGTGCTGATAGACTCTGGCCTTATTTGAAGAGGGATTTATATCTCCAGTCGTGTCGCTCTGTTTTAAGCAAAAATTTACTAAATAACCTTTTACGACAAAAGTAAGGAATTCTGAAAATCCTTTTTCCAGGTGGACTTAAGCGAGAAACCGTCATTCTGGAAGGCTCTGAAGCCGCCAGCGAAGGATAAGTGCGGAGAGCTTCTGACGTCATTATGCTACCACCCAAGCAACAGTGTGCTGACCCTCGCGCTGTTAAAGGCCAGGAACCTTAAGGCGAAGGATATCAATGGGAAATCAGGTGAGTTTTTTAAAACTTTTATTGCGTGTTGTAGCATCAGTAATTATTAAGTGTTTCGACCGAACTTCGCAAGATGGCGCTAAAGCCAATTTTTGTAAAGCTAATTTTTGTATGTGGTTGTCAACTCTATAAATTATACTGACTCTATAATAATAATAAAAATAATATATCCAGGTACCTTGTACTAGAATATTAATCATAGAAAATGGATTAGAAAAGAAGACCCAGGTGTGTTTTACGTTCGTTTCATAAATGTATGTAAAATCTCCCACAACACAGTAAATATTCCTAGTGCGGGACTAGACTTAAAAAAAACATGTTTATGGAACCAAAAATTTTGCACTTACTGGGAATTGAATTTGCAACCCCCGATGTTGCACATTACCAACACAAATACATTACCACCGCCTTTAGAGGTTTTAAAAATCGACTCTAAATCTTGTCGACAAGTATAAAATCACCCTAACTACATAAATCAAGAAACGGATCTGGGAATTTCACGTCCAATTAAGCAGCAGTTCAGTTTTCACTAACTGGAGATGCTGAAATATTGGAGGAAATATTTGAAACTAATGATCTCTGAGAAATTTGTTATAAGTACATGTAATAAAGAAACATTCTTAAGACGTTTTTTTTATTAATGTTACACTTATGATAAGTGAAGGCATTTATTACCTCCCGAACTAATTCTACCTTTGTTTTGTTAGATTTTTTACTCGTCCCTCACCTTTTCCCCAAACTAGATTGGGTATCGCTTTAAGTCTACTATGATCAGGCTGGATTTTTTACACGGTGCGATTGCCATTAGACCTTCACAACCCAATCACTAGGTGATATCGAAGTTCTGTAGAAAGGCTATTAGATTTTTCACTAAAAAAATAATAATAATAATAATTCTTGAAATGAAGATACGGTTCTTTAATTAAAAATGGACCATTAGGGGAATATCGCGTGTACTTAATAAGTATCATATACCTTGGAAATGTCTGACGTTTCGACCAGGTTGCACTGGCTGACCCACAGGCTGACTAACCTTAAGGTACATCTTCAGCAATTCAAGTAATTTCTCCATCTATCTTAAGCGAACCTGTTCTGATAAAAGATTCCTTATTTGATTAAAGTGTTTTAAAGTATGTATTAGTTGTCCGTGTGGTATCGGATTAAGGATACGGAGTGGCACCAAACATGTTCATCCCGTGGGTATTGTAGGAGCTGACCAAGTGAGTAAGCTCTGCAGGATGACATTAATATAAAGTAAAGGAAATCTTGAAACAAACCCTATACCAACACGTCTGGCCAGCGTGGTTTAGTATAAGCCAAAACCACCTTTCTAAGGAGAGGCCTATGTCCAGCAGTGGACTATCAAAGTCTGTTGATGATGATTGATGAAGGAGAGGTCTATGTCCAGTAGTGGCAGTAGCTTGATGATGATCATTATCGATTTTAAAGTTTCGGGGATACTGGACTAGACTATTTGGGCCCAAATTTTTGGGGTATTTTTTTCATGACAATTCAACTGTAAAAATTTACTCAAATGCTGCTGGCATTGAAAGTAACTTGTTGTTGTGTTGCAAAAAAGAGAGCTAATCGTGCCATTTATAATTTCAGTTTTAAGCAGTCACTGATAAATAAGTTTAAAGAAATTGGTATTATGACAGTCGCATCTCAATATGTATATGAAAATTTAGTGAATGTTAAGAAACATTTGAAACTTTGTGAACAACTGTATTGTTCACAAAGTTTAACGACATTCATAATATAAACCCTAGATATAAAGATAAACACGTATTGCCAACTACGTGTTTTTTTCGATGTGCGATTCTACAATAAAATTCTAAGCAAATTTAATGAATTAGGTATTAACAAATTTAAGTCCTTAGTAAAACAAAAACTGTGTAAAAATGCCTTCTACACGATTACAGAATATTAAGATGACAAATTTGCTTGGGATCGATGCTGCCCACATTTGAAAGTGATGAACATTTAATTTTTTGTTCTAATTCGTATTTCGTTTGTTTTCAATTTGTTTATTGTTTCATTGAATTGTATAGTTTTTTTTTTGTGTAAGTATGTAAATGTGAGTATAGTGTAGGCTTGTAAAGTTAGTTCATATTTAAGTAACTTTCTGGTGGTTTTGAGTGTTTCCACGGCCTACTCAAGTCTCCTGCTGGCGGTAGTGTCGTAATCCGGGTTGTTGATCCTAACTAAACTCGGTTCCAAAAATAACGGGTCAGTCACATAAACCCGAATATCTCCCGAACTACGTATGCTATCCTAATGAAATGAAGACTGTTCAATTGAGAATTTAATTATACAGATAAAAAATAAAATAGAACTTAAATCTAAACTCTCTAACTCTTAACTTATCTCTATATTAAAAAAAAACTAAAGTAGTCATATTTTTCTTAAAATTACATTTTTTATGATTGTTTTTTTGCTGTTTTTCATCACTTTCTTCATTTAATACTTTGTATTGCCTCCACGAGCTCTTCTGACAGCTTCCAGGCGATTAGGCATGCTGTACACCAAATTTCGGAGCCGGTGCTGAGGAATAACTTCCCATTCCTCCACCAGTGCTTGTTTGAGTTCGGGAAGCGTGATTGGTGGGGGGTTTCGTTTTCTTTCACGCATCTCTGAAGCTCGTCCCAGGCGTGCTCGATGGGGTTTAAGTCCGGGCTTCGCGCTGGCCGCGAGTTCGATACCGACCTCTTCAAGGTAGTCATGTACAATACTGGCGGTATGGGGACGCGCATTATCATGCATTAATATGCCATGCCTGTCCATCCTAGCCATGAAAGGACCTACATGTTCATTGAGGATCTCTTCCACGTACCTCTCTGCATTTAGAGTTCCATTTTGAATGAGTACCAGCTCGGTGCGGGCCTCAGTAGAAATCCCAGCCCAAACTCGTACGGAGCCTCCACCGTACGCCACTTTTTCCTCCACACACGCTTGATGGAAGCGCTCCCCTGGTCTTCTGTACACCAACTGCCTACCATCATGCTTATAAAGCATGAATTTAGACTCGTCCGTGAACATTACCCTAGACCAATCGTCTAGTGTCCAGTTTAGGTGCTCGCGCACGTATCTCTGTCTTGCAATTCGATGTCCCCGTTCCAGTTTGGGGCCATTTGCGGGCCTCAATGGTTTCAAATTTGCTTCAGCAAGACGTCTTCTTACTGTTTGAGCGCTTAAATTGCCACCTCCAAAGCGAATAAAGTGAGTTTTTAGACCAACAGCAGTTTTCAAACGATTTCGGAGCATTGTAGCCACCAGTTGTCTGTCTTCCCTGGCCGTTGTGCAACTTGGTCTGCCATTTCCTGGTCTTCTAAGGTGTGATCCGGTCTCTTGGTACCGCTGGACTACCCGCTGAACAGTCGACAAAGATACACCAATGTTTCTGGCTGTTTCACGCTGGCTTCGCCCAAGTTCCAAAAAGTTTGGATTCTGGTACATTCCTCTAGCGTGACTGCCATGCTTCACCTCACAGAATAGTAATTATGCACGTGGAAGACGTTCACGATATTTTTTTTTGTGACAGAATAGAAATGGAAAGCATCTATAATGAAATGAAACAAAAATTTTGTTTTTAAAAATAGTCATTTTTTTAAATTTTGTTTTTCTAATGAAGTTTTCTTCATCAACCAGTTTAAATAATATCCTATTAGAAGCGCAACTAAAAAGTCTTTATTCTGTTTTTTATTTCATTGATCTAACTTTTACAGTTCTGGAGGTATCTCAATTTTTGTGACTGACCCGTAATTTTTGGAACCGAGTGTATATTGGTTAGGCTACACGATGACTGGAGCCTCTATGCCGTCTGTATGGACTGAAAACTATGGTTCTTTCTTCAAAGAGCCAACCTAGACCCTACACTGCATTCAAATATTCTCTTTAACATTGTACACGGACTTAAAAACAAGACACCTCTGTGGTTTCTTCCCAAAGGGAGTCTTAGGAAATACCGGTGCCTTCTAGCTGTTAAGTCCGACTTGTAAAAATATCTGAAAAGATTTACTTCCAGAAATAAATATCATTTCATTTCAAATACCTAAAATAAAATACCTCTAATCTTCCAGATCCCTACGTGAAAGTCTGGCTACAGTTCGGCGACAAACGCATAGAGAAGCGCAAGACAGCCATCTTCAAGTGCACCCTGAACCCTGTGTTCAACGACTCCTTCTCCTTCAACGTGCCGTGGGAGAAAATTAGAGAGTGCTCTCTGGACGTACAAGTCATGGACTTCGACAATATTGGCAGGAATGAGCTGATTGGCAGAATATTGCTAGCTGGTGAGATGGGTCTTACTTCTTTGCTGTCTCTTTCCAACTTACCACCATCTAACCTCCGAACAGCCGTGGGAGAGCCATGCTTCGGCACAAACGGATTGGCTCGACCGGAGTGATACCGCAGCCTTACAGAAAGCCGATATTAAGCAAGCCTTGAATGAGTGAGGTTACCGGAGCCCGAACCCCCTCTCCCTGATTCTCGGAAAGGGGGGGGGGTCATTTATAACTCTTGGGTTGCAAATGTCTATGTTTGGTGATAGTCACTTAACATCAGGTGTTCCGTCGCTCGCTTTCCCTTCTATACTATAAAAAGAAAACATTATTATCAGTTTTATTATAAGGGTATAATAAAACTGATAATAATGTAGTCTGGATGGACAGGAATTTCCTCACTATGATACTCTAGAGTTCACAAGACTGACCCCATAACGAAACACCAAGTGGTTCAGTCACTTTAGTACTCTAAAAAGCTGTCCGCGAATGTTCATAGAATTCAACTCCTAATCAATTTCAAAGACACTTAAGTACTTTACTTTGCTTTTCAGGTAAAAACGGTTCAGGGGCGACTGAAACAAAACACTGGCAGGATATGATCACGAAGCCCCGGCAGACCATCGTGCAATGGCATCGCCTGAAGCCAGAGTAAACATGTTAACGAAAAGAATAAAAATAACAAAAAAAATAAAAAAATAAAAATGAAACAAAAGCGTCATAAGACTGAACAGTTAACAAAATTGTATGGCACACGAATCTCTCTGATCTGTCTTCGTCTGAGCGTAGTGCACGAGATTATTTCTTATTCCTTTTTAATTAAAATAAGAAAATCTTTTATCTATATTTACGTCAAAGGATGAACTTGATTTCTTTTTTTTTATTTCATAACATTTAATTTCGAAAGCTATTTTGTTAACATTTTTAGTTATTCCTTTTTTTTATTTTATAGAACAGTATTTTCATGTTAATATTTAAGATTTTTAAGCTCTTTATTTTCTTTTTCTTTGTTAAAAGCACGCGCTACTTTCCAATCTTGACTATCTTTAAAAAAAAGATAAAGTGACTTAAACTAAAAAAAAACAAAATATCGTGATATTTCTAAAAAAAAAGAAATCAAAATGTTGAACTCATTAACTTTGCTAATACAAAGTTATTTGAAATGCTGTTCGCTCGAGAGATTGCTTTTACTTGGTGCAGATATTTGAGGTATTCTGAAATTCACCTAGGTCTGAGGGGAGGTCCCCGCCTTCAAGGGATTTCCCGAAAAGAATGTCATTGATAGTCTGTTTGTACGTTAATTGAAAAAATAAATAATGATAATAATTTACAAACTAATTAAAATATAATTTTGAGATTACCGCAGGGCCCTCAATACAAATCCCCCACAACCTCCAATACGGGGAGGAGGAAAATAGGAGTCGAAATATTTAAGAGTCGTATAGTAGTCCCCCATAAACAACTCGGAGCACGAAAAACTTGAAAACATTGTGACTTTTAATACAGAAATCTTATTTTAAAACTCTCAAATTGAACTTAAAAATTAGCGATACCTATGTTTTGTATGAAACTAGATTGGTATTATTCATTGGTGATTAATTGTGGGAATGATGATGGTTTGTCCAGAATTTTAGAAAAATATATGATTAAAAAGCTTTGAACATGAAAATGCATAAACATAGTATGAAAACATACAGTAGAAAAAGAATTTAAAAAACGCTTATAAAGTTTATACACATCATTCTATTACACTATCTCCATAAGATATTCAAAATACCATTGGAAATTCTAAATTCTAAGAATAAACTCAGATTATTTATTTACGACTGAGTTTTTGAACTATTACAGGTTGAATGAATGAAAAATACCAATTAAATGGGATACTTTTGTCCAAGTGCCCAATGATATATACAAACAAGAGGTAGATACACCACCAACGCACAAAACGCGAGGGTCCTAATTAGGACCACTGCGAGCGAACGCACGTAGGTACTAATTAATTGGAGAAAATTCATAAAATGCCTTCCTGTGTACTCCGAAAGTGAACAAGTTACGAAAAAAAAGGTACGAGAAAATGACTATTGGGGTTTTGCTCGTTACACAAATATATATTTCAATTTCTTAACGCAACAGCATTACAAATAATTGTCTAATCTTCAACCTATATTGACGTTTTACTTAATAAATGATAGTTGGACGACGAGTGTTAAGAATTTTAATAAATAATATTGTTAGAAATATAAATTAATTGTTAAAAATGTAGTAATCGAAATGAAAGGTCGAGTTCATGTCGCACAAAATGTGTAGTGGTTTTTTTTTTTAAATAAACGAAAGTAATATATATTTATTTATACGTAATACCCGGTATTATAGACGAATCGGCAATCCAATTGCTCAAACAACAAAACGTAAAGCAAATTTAAAAAAGAATGTGGTCATACCATCATGCCAGAGTAATAATGTCATACTGCCAAATTGTAACATAAAAAAATACAACATCTGAGTACGTGGTTTTTGAGAAAAAGATGTGTCAAAAAAATGCTTTTTCTGATTGATTAATGGAATAAGAACAGATTCTAAATTATTGTTAAAATTTAAGAGAGTGTCGCAAACGAGGCTGGTCAATTTTAGGTGAGGTTAAATAGGAGCCCAAAGTTGTAAGGCCATTTCTAGGGACAAATCAATTTTCAGTCGGCAACTCAACGAAAGCTTGATAGCATTTTTTTTTGTTAAATATTTAAAAATATATATTAAAGATAATAAAATGATAGTATCAATATGCTTGTTGTTACATGTTAAAGCTTCAATACAGTAAATGTAGTGGGAGTCGATGTTGAAAAAAGACAAAAAATATCATCAAAATCCAAAATATTGTATACATTTATAAAAGTTTTTTAGAATTAGAGTAATTTTAGATGTACCTTGTAGCTTGTTGTTATAGATGTTAGACAGTTCAATGTTCATTAAAATTAGTTGCAGCAAACGAAAAGAAAAATAAAGAGAAGAATATATTACTTTTTAATTTTAAAATCCTCCAACTGAGCTTCAGAAACCGATTTTAGCGGAGAAAATGTCAACGCGAAATAAGTAAAAAATAATTAGATTAAAAAAACACGAAAATGTTGGTTACATTGATACTTTTTTGAAATTTGAATCGTCCTTACATCACTTCTGTATACTAAAAAAGCTTATTAAATTTTCAAACCACAGGTCCAGTATGATAGTTACAGGCTATCGGCTTTACCCTGTCTCATCCCTATAGATCTCTTTCGACCTTATTAACCCCTAGAAATAATATAATTAGCACTGATTTTTAACGGTCTTTTAAAGAGTTAAGTACTCTCCTCCTTTCCTCGTAGAGCTGCCCCGTGTCCCTGATTATGATTATCGTTGACTAATCTTTTTCTAAATTGTGACTGTAATATTATAAGTAATATGAAAGCCACTACCATTATACAGTATTTATGTATCCAACATTTTTTACAATTTCAACATCTTATAAACACTTATCTACTTGAATTTTAAAAAACCATCTTGCCAATCTAAAAAATATAGACATATAGAGTACATTTACAAACATAAACAATAATCACTCAATTTGATATATATAGAGGAAATAAAATATTGCTGAAATCTATATTTTTTACTCTCGTATTTATGCGTAAAAAATGTATATTTTTAAATGAGGTCTGGTACAAAAGCCTCCGAAATGCTTCTTAGTTATTTTTGCTATGCATTTTTAATATTTTGTTTTACTAATGTACGCTTTAATAGGTATGTGTGACGGTTCAAATCATGTTAGTGACTCAAAGGAATGATGTCTATACATAGGATCTTTATTTTTTTGAACGAAAAATGATCTGACAGCTGTCACACGTTTGTGACAGTTTCTACAACAGAATTATGAAGGGTAGAGGCAAGAAGAACCATCTCATATAGGGGGTAGGTAAAAAAAATATCCTTATGCTACTGTAGCGCCCCCCAATGTAACGCATTTTGACGGACACTTTTGATACACAGAGATGATTCTCCTTGTCTCAACCCTCTATAAATAGAACTTAATATTTGAATAGTTGTAGATATTCTACTATAAAAAAACCAAGGTAAGGTTTAGTATTATTTTTTATTTGGACAAGTTTAAAATAATAATTTTTGTTGCTACTTTTTAACAATAATTCCTCTTATCTATTGGTTGGTTTGTAAGCTTCTCTGACGCCTGTTTAAAATATAGTATCCATGAAACTACCAAAATAATTTTGTTATAGTTAGTCTCTGACTTTTCGATATACATTTCGGCATATTTATCAGGTGGTCAAGATGATACCAGATACCAGATATATATAGACAACGTGTATTGGTTTCTGCACGAAGAAGGTTGAAATTATTCTATTTAGAAAAATGATTAGTTTCAGCTGTTTTAAACAAACGCATATCTTGGTACGTTAGGAAAGTAAAATTTAAAAAAAAAATATTGTAAGTATAAAAGAAAGGTCAAAATGAGAGGAATTATTCTAATAAATGTACATAAAAATAAGGAAAAATGTATTGATTGTTGTCATGCTAAGTTCGGTAAAAATATTTCATTATTATATATTTAATGTTTGCAATTTCCGAATTCGCCTGGCTCTTAAATGTTGACGTATATGTAAGCACACATGTTCATGTATGTGTAAAATAAATTAAAAAATAAATATTCGAAATTCGAATGAAGTAACTTAACTATTTTGTTTGCAACGTTGCATTTCACAAACGTACAGTCATAGTCGTATGCAAGCTTGGAGGTGCATAACCTTAAAAAGTTAAATGTTAAATGAAAAATAAATATTTTTGCATCTTCCGATTACTACCTCTACTTTGCATTATCGATTATTTAAGACGAGTTTTATAAATCAATTTTTTGACGTTAAAAAATACACTTTTTTATTTGTGAGGACTTCATTTAATAGGTGCAGTACAATAGATTTCTTTTAAATGCATTACAAATATGATATTTTCTTATAAATAAAAAAATAATATAAACTAACCGTAATTATTTTTATGAAGCAATATTTATTGAAAAATATATTGGTTTCTATAGGTGTGACAGGAAGTACAATAGAGTAAACATTTTTTCTGAGCGTATTTCGCGTAGGCAAAATGGTATAAAACGTAACACAGAGGAAAAAGTCCTACAGTGTTACGTTTTACTAGTAACACACATTTGTAATATTGGTTAATGCTTTCTTAGTCTGTTCGAATCCAAATCATTGTGATGTACAATTGTTACATATCAATTCATTTTAATTTTAATAGGCAAAGATATATATTTTCGTGATATATTATTTGAAATAAATATTTAGATACCCACATATTTAGGCACACACTTGTGTTATTTATATATATATATACAGATAGCACTAGACATTTCTTTTTTCTTGTGTGATGTGTGACAAATTGTTGACATCTTTTTTTCATATTTAGACACGATTGCAAGTAACGAATTTGATGACACGAAATGTAAAGATTTTTTAATTTTAGTACTAATTGTGAATGTTTGAAACATTTATTTTGAGGCATATAATTGAATGTATTATGCAATCGCAATTAATATAGTAACTGTGGCCGAGAAAATGAGTTACATTGCAAAGTGATTATTCAAAATAATTCCCGCGCTTTTGTCGCCGCCCTTTCGACGCTGATAGCTTCGTTTTCGTTCGATAACAGTTCAAACGGTGTAACTTATAATCGCGGTCTGTGTCTATTTTGTGCAAAATAAATGTTATAAAATTAGGAAAAATGTGATTTTAAAAATATAGTTGATTATATTTTATCGTATAGTTAAAAAATAATAACGTTTTAAATACATATATATATAATATCATATAATGTTAAGGAATCAGTGTTAGATTAGATGAGAAGTTAAAAATGTATTTATAGACTGTTATGTAAACCTAAGAATGTATTCGCTTTGAGCTGTATCTTTTTTTTTCTCAATTTCTTTTTTAATTTCCATTCTTGCATAGATGTCACTGTTGTGTGTATTTAAGTTTTTTTTCTTTTTTATTAATTATTAAGGTTTTTAGGTGTACTGTTCATTATATATACACGTATTATAAAGTGTTGACAATCATTAACGTATTGTGTATTTCTTAATTGTAATTAAATTCATTATTCCCGAATAAAATACTGAGTTAATTAAGGGGTGGTTTTTCTTGGAGAACAACAATGTTATTGAATGAGTTGTATGAAATCAGGTTTAGTATTAGTAAAACTATAAATGGCAGCAGGCACATTGCTCGCGGAAGCAATGGACAATAGGACTTAAAGGCTTTTGAGTGCCGACTGCTCCTTAGTCCCTTCTCCAAAGTCTGGTGCGTTTTTTTAATGGTATAAACAGGCAAACGAGCAGTCGGGTCACCTGATGGTAAGCAACTACCGCCGCCCATGGACACCCGCAACTCAAAAGTCACAGTGTGCACACAAGTGCTTTGCCGCCCTTAGAGTCCCTCCCGCTCGAGTCAGCGAGAGGGGGGATTTGGGCTCCGGTAACCTCACTCAGTGAAAGCAACGAAAGAACTGCTTAAAACCGGTTTTCTTTGAGACCGTGGTATTAGTCTGGTGTGTAATTTACAAAGCTGTAGCGTTTTAATCCTGTCAATTTAAATCTCATTTAATTCTGATCTACCATCTGTCTGCTTGCTAATTTTATCATTACATCTTATACACTTTTCATCACACATCACATCAACAGCCTTTAATAGTCCACTGCTGGACATATGCCTCTCCTTAGAATGGAGGTTTTGACATACTATACCACGCTGGCCAGACGGGTTGGTATAAGGTTTGTGTCAACCCCCCATCTGTAACCTCACGTTATCGTCGTGGGGGGGCTTGCGCGGGTCAGTGATCTCTGAGGCTATGCCGGTAGAGTCAATCATGCTGGATTGGCTTAGAGGGAGACTTTAGACTAAGAAGGATACTCCAGACTAAAAAGGATACTAGGCCCTTCTTGGGTCACCGATAGTTGCTCCACTGTCCAAAGTGGAGGAACGACGAGAGGCTCGGTGAGCACTTACACCGCCACCAAGCAGGTTATGGGGACTGTGTCTCCTTGACAACGTTTGCATATCGTTATCCCGGTGGGGAGTGTCGTGGTTATGTCTCGCGATTTTAATTTGGGGCGAGGGTCTTGGCTTAGCCGCTTGGACTGCTAGGTGGAAAACCCCAATTCCTTGTTCTGGTGCGTGGCGTGTGGATGCATGGCTGATGGGTAGTTCAGTCGCAAGCTCACACCCAGCCGGGACACTTGCGGACCCCTTTACCCCTATACCGGAATAAATTTACGCTTGCCGGGGTATTGGGGATCTTTGCCCGGATTGACTTTTATTACTCGTAGGATTAAATATGGATTTATTAAGTAAAACAAACAAAAAGAAAGAAAAGAAGGCGAAGGATAAGAAGGAAAATACAAGAAAAGCGGATAACTTATCGTCTAACCAGCAGGAAGTTTCGCTTGTGACGCCTATCTCGATGGGGCTCCCAGAAGTCAATTTGGCTAATGGGAGCCGAAAAATATCAGAACGAAATAAAACAACAATATCTAGAATTTTTGTATTTTTTATTGAATAACTTTTCTATTTATAATTATGTTATCAATATCACAAAACATTATAATTAGGCAGGTAATCAAGTAAAAAAGCCGATATCTCTAAAAATAATATACGCTGTTGAAAATTTTCACAGAAAACTCAGAAACAGAAAGAAATTTATGAAAAGAAGAATATATTTTCTGAAAAAAATTTCAACAGCGTATTGATCACAACACTATGTTTCATATTGTTTACGTCGACCTATCGCTTTCAATTGTGTTGTCTGAACTCTTTTATAAATTCAATAATAACCAGGAAATACTAATCTACTTTTTAAATCATTGTTGCAGAGTCCAACGGAGAGAACAATCTACTGACTCACTTTCCAAACACATTTAGTATAGTTATCATATAAAACAGAATAGAAAAAATTCAAACAGAAATTATACATTGAACATTATTTTGAGACCAATATTTTATATAAAACGGGCATTTTACTTTTCCATCACTACATTTTAAACTAGCCAATAAGTTAAGATTCTCTTTTTAAAATAAAATTATTGAATGATAACCAACCAATAGCAGGCTAGGAATTAGTTACGCCTTGGGTTGTGTGTAAAATGCCCTTTGTGTGTGTGTTATTGTGTTATTTAAGCTTTCTTCTCTTCTTCCTTCGCGGGTGCATCAGGAGCGGGTGTGGGGAGTTCTGGGTATTCTAACTTGACTCCATCCTCGCAAGTGAAGACTGGACAGCATCCAGGGAAGGGCGCGGTCTTGTTGGTCTTTTCTGTATTAAAAAAAACATATTTAGTTTTAGATTTTTACTGATCTTGCGTTTTTGGTAGGTCTTAAGAATTAAATCATGTTTACTGTGATTCAAGACTCATAGCAAAATTATGGATCCCTATGAGGTGTCGTTCATCCCCCATCTGACTGATTCTCTTAAATACACAGAGAAGTCTAGAATTAATTGTATAGTTTCATTTATCGAACCTTATACAAATAATCGATTTAAACTAGGTGCCTGGCGGTAGTAGAGGCATCAGAAGAGGAATCCACAAAAAATTACAGCAAAAATACATTTTTTTTCAGTTATAACTATTTGATATAATTGTAAGACTAACCAGTGTCAAGTTTGCACTTGTCGTTGGCAAGCGGCAAAGGTCCGCAGTCTTCAACCAGCTCCAACAGCCTTGGAGGTACGTCCTCGCTGAGCACACAAGAGGAACGACCACAGAAAGGAGCCAGGTCCCAGTCTTGGCCAGGCTCTACAGTAGCGCAACGAGTTGAGGCGAAGCACATTCCAGGGAAATCTGCAAAGACAAAATAAAGTTTATTTTATTAAAATTTATAAACCCGTTTCTACTATCCTATGCAAATCCTAACAAACATGAGTTTGTTTCTCCGTATGTTTGTTACGCTTTCATGAAGTAAAAGTAAAATCGATTAACGATTTTAGTGCAAATCTACTTTTTATCTTAGTTTCTTAAAGTTCGTTTGTATTTTTTTTGTTTATTTTTCAGAATTCCATCTTTATGAAATTGGAAAATATTTTTTAATTTGTGAAGGTTTTTTAGGTATACTTCTCGATATAGTTTTCCCGATTCCCATTTAAATTAGAAAAAAAATACCACCAATTGGAATTGAAGTCGGTAATGAGTTTTGTTGGGTTCGTGGATGATTGTCAATAATAAAAAGGTAACGTTTGACAGTTTTATTCGTACATACACCAAAAATGCGTCAGTGTTAACAATATACAATATGGCGACAACTACAACAGAATTCGAAGTCATTCATGCGCGGGAAACGGTTAAGGGAAGCGACTGTCGCGTCACTTGCTCATGATTGGTCGGCTACTATGGTGGCGCAGTTTTTAAAAGTTTATTATTTCTTGTCCAGTTAGGTATAACTATGAACGATATAACAGATTTTAATAAAACACGTTATAACTAAAGCTAATCATGCTAATTATTTTTCATGGAAAATTCACATGAAAAATTTCTATGGACAATGGTAAAAAAGTTTTTAGATCACGGCCAGGTGACAAAACTGTGTATTATTGTAAATATACAGTTACTCATTGTTATCAAATGGTATTGTCGACTAGTTGGTGTAAGCTATTGTTAAATTTTAATCTACTGTATTTTTATTGTCAATGTTTAGGTACGCAAATTTGGGTCAAATTCTTTCGAATTTCTAAATTTTGAATGCATTTTCATCATAGTACTTTTTTTAAGTTAGATCATCGGCCTATGACCGTCCACCAGTCCGTCGACCAGCTAAGTTCTCCCCCAGGGAGCGCCAACTGTCCTGATCTTGGGCAGTCCACATCCATCTGTTTTAAGCTAAAGCTTTTCGTAATTAACAGGTTATGGTAAACTTTCATGTAACGAACTTATCTTTGATTTCTAATCTGATAATGTCTCTGTCTGGTGACGGATTAAGAATACGGAGTGTCACCACCCCTATTCATCCCGTGGGTTTCGTTAGAGCTGACTAAGGGAGCAAACTACGCAGAACAACAGCACTGCAAAGAGAAGGATAACTTGACACAAACCCTATATCAACGCGTCTGGCCAGCGTGGTATAGTAGGACAAACCCTCCTTTCTAAGGAGAGGCCTATATCTAACAGTGAACTATTAAAGGCTGTTGATGTGATATGTGATGAATGTCTCCATATATTTTTTTGGGTATACGGGAAAATGCCGCAAAGCATGGACACATGCAACCATGCAGCCGTCCTTTGAGTGTACCTGCCCCAGAATTATTAGAATTAAGGGGGGGGGGGGGGGGAGATTGGGCTCCGGTAGCAATGAGTAGCCTTCACTGGATGTAATAGTTAAAAAAAATAATAAGCTACTTATGTTCCATCAAGCAACTAGTAAATACTAAGCAATAACAATGTAGTGCAATTATTTCACCGCCTTTCACAATCGAATCGTCATTAATTCTTGCAATGTAAGTGAACGTATTAAAGCCTTCACTATTTACATTCTAAGTAGCTCACGTAATCTACACAAAGTATGTGTATATGTTAAGACTCTAAACACGTTTAAAAAGGATCCTATTCTAATGGTCCTTCGAGCTAGGGTCAAAATTTAACTGGATGTCAAAGTGTCCCTGGTCCTTCGAACTTTAATAGGAATCTTCAGCTGTGACAATTTCAATAAGTATTTTTTAGCTTTTCGAAAGTCAAACTGATAATAAAACTTCAGCGAAATTGAAGTGGCAAAGTTTATGTTGATGTCAAACTGAATAAATAGTCGGGTCAGGCATAGACGCCTTATAACTAAACTAGGAAGTCTTAAAACCTGATCAAGCTGACAAACAGTTGTGTCGTGAGTGGTGTGTGGGAGAAGTGGCCATGTTTAAATGATTTTGGCCTTGCTTTTGTAACGAGTTGACAAATAAATATTCATTTTTTTAAATAAAGCAAATGACCGTTCGTGTCTGCCTGTGACCAGGCAACTGCACTGCAATCTGCTCGAAACATCATGCAATTCAAAGATATGTTATACCTTATTAGGTTGTGGGTTCGATTCCCACCCAGGACAAATAACTGTGTGATGAACATGATCTTTTGTTCTGGCTGGGTTTAATTTATCTATAATACGTTTGTGTTTAGAAATAAATAATTATGTTTATCGGCAGTCTGGTTACTATAGTACAGGATCTGTTTAGTTTGGGATCAGACGGTCGTGTGTGAGATGCGTGGAGTTATGTGATCGCATCTCGTAATAAAATAATTATATGTTACCTGAATTATGATTATTTATTTTGTAGTATGGCAACACATTGTAACATCTACGAAACTTTTTAAATAAATACGATGCTAATTCAGTGCTGTTTTTGTCTCTATGTGACTTTCCCTTCCCTGTCAATATAGTATATATGATTTGCTACAAGTTATTCGTTATTTACCGTCACTTTTACTTAGCAAACACTTATTAGAGAACACAAATACTGTCGAAGAATTATTGACTGGTTTCTGCCGACTTTCTAGTATAAGTGTTTTTAAGTGATTAAATTTCTAATACAATATCTGCCTGCCTCGTTACTGCAGTGGTAGTGTATGCGACTGCTGTTCTGAGGTTTTGGGTTCGATTCCGGGTCGGACCAAATATTTGTATGATCTGCAAATATTTGTTTCATAGCTTGGGTGTTTTCTATATGTATGTATTTACAAAAATAGGTATTCTGTCAGTCAATCTTGTAGTACAAGCTCTGCTTAGTTTGAAACTAGATGGCGTTGTGTGTTAGATGTCAGAAATATTATTATTATATTATATCTACATATATTTTGTAGAAGGCTGTTGGTCTAGTGGTTAGTGACCCTGACTACTAGTCGGAGGTGGAGGGTTCGATTCTCACCTAGGAATAATAATTATGTGTTGAGCACGATCATTTGTTTTGTGTCTCGGTTTAGTTTATAGAATAGAAGTATTTAAACAAAACTATAATACTGACAGTAAATTATCTATAATATGTATGTATTTAGAAATATATAAGTATGTATGTATGTATGTATTATCAGCAGTCTGGTTACCATAGTACAGGCTCTGGTTAGTTTAGTTTAGGTTTTGTGTGAAATGTGTGAGGTTATTATTATTACATATACAGGTGGGCACAGGCGATCGAGAAAAAAGGAGAGGCTTGTGCGGTTGGTTTGGACATAGACCTTTGATCGGGCCTGGCATAAGGCGCTTCTCACGAAGCTCCCTTCCTTTGGGCTTCCCGAGAAATTGTGTAATTGGGTCACCAGCTTCCTAGCGGACAGAAGCATCATTGTTCTACATCACCAGCAGGTTGACTGGGAGAGAATGCCTCATGGCATTAAATCCGTCTTTGTACAAAACGTGCGTACGTTTAAATAAATAAATAAAATAGGTCCAGCATAAACTTGACCTGCTAACGTATCGTTTCGTCCACTACGATTTAAATTAGTAATACTATTTTGGATTACACAAAAGCAAGCGCATTTCGTTACTGAACTAACTAAAACTAGAATAATTACATTAATTATTTTAATTATAACATACTGAAGCAATATATGTCATTAATATAATATAATTCAAGCTTACAAAACAGTTGCCAAGGATCATAAAAAAGTTAGGTTTGAATTTAATTAAATATGACAAAACAGAAAACTAGGTGGACGTATGTTAAATAAATGTAATTATGTTGTTAGCCTGGTGGTCCAGTGGTGAGTGACCATAACTGCTAAGCTAGGGGTACACCCCGTACAAACCCCGCTCGGTTGACGACCCGAGGGAGTATCCCCACGTAAAAAAGGGGATCGTGGGTTCGATTCCCACCCAGGACAAATCATTGTGTGATGAGCACGATTATTCGTCTGTGCCTGATTTATGCATAACATGCCTGTGTTGATGTTACTCAATTTCTTTTTTTTTTCTTGAAAAAGACAACTTCCTCATCAGGAATATATCCTGTGTCGCAGGGGACTTTAAAAACATTCATGAAACAGACACAAAGAACACCCAGACTCAGAACAACAATTTGAGGATCACACAAAGTGTCGTTCCATGTCCCCACATGTCGGACCCACAACACCAGCATAGTAGTGAGCGGCGTGGCGACCGCTTAAACCATTACGCCATCCGTGCAGTCAAAGTAAGCCATTAACACCTGCAAGTGCCTTGCCACACCATGTCCAGAAGAATTAGGAGGAGGGAGGTGGGGTTTTTGGGTCTCCGGTAACCCTCCGATAAGTATATTTGGAATTCTATTACTAGTTAATGATGAAACAGCTCGCGGTATTACAGAGATGAAATTTACATGCTGCATTAACACTTAGGCCTATGTCCAGCAGTTGACTGCGATAGGCTGATGATGATGATGATTAACACTTAGCCAGGCGGAGTCGCAAGTGAAAGGACTCCCTGTATAATGTAGGCGGAAGACAGTTAGGAGTTGCAAAAGTGAAAGCAACTTACACTTCTAGACCAAGCTATAGGTATTTGTAAGACGATATAGGGTTATCACACAATTAATCTGGATCAATAAAAAAGTACTAGTTGTGGTGGACACAACACGGATGGTGTTGTGTCCACCACACCTAGTTATCCCATGGGTGTCGCAAGAGCAAACTACGTAGGACAACAGCACTGCAGAGAGAAGGAAAACTTGATACAAACCCTGTACCAACCAGTCTGGCCTGCGTGATATGGTAAGCCAAAACCTCTTTTCCAAGGAGAGGTCTATGTCCAGTAGTGGAGTGTTAAAGGCTGTTGGTGTGATGTGACGAGTAAATAAATAGATTGTTTTGGGTAATCTATGACTTTTATTTCATAG